ACTTAGAACCTTCTTAAGATCCAATAGTGCAAAATGCAAATTCTTGCACTTTTTTGACTGGTCTTAAGATTTTGATCCGGAGTGTATATGCATGCATCAGGTGATATAGAATTTCTTTTCAGCTTGACAGTGGAAGTCCAGCGGGCCAAAGGACCGAACCCCGCACAGGACCGAGAACCCATCTTTGAACGTGGCTCCACCACAACTTATTCAAGTTTCAGGAAATCATATTACACAAAACCCTGGTCCATTGAAGGTATGACTTATAAAAATAATTAACAGACACCATTAAAGATGTGACACTTTATGCTTTACTTTGATGCTTTTTTACTTATTTTTTTTTCAATCAGAGACAGACATGTTCTTCCTAGCAGTTAGTATGGTGGGAACAGACTTCTCAATGATCTGTCAACTGTTTCCACACAGAACTCGATCAGAGATAAAGGTAGGGTGAAATAAACAAATATAATAGTATTTGCAGAACATGATATAAAAAGGACAACTTATAGATTTCCCCCAATTTTTTTATTTCAGAACAAATTCAAAAGGGAAGAGCGAGAAAACTCCTGGAGGGTTGACAAGGCTTTCAGTAAGGGTTTGGATTTTAAAAGTGACATAATCATTGTTTAATTTGATGGTCCTTTGACAGATGTTTTTCTTTTAATAGGAGAGAGGCGTCAACTGGACATAGAATATTTTTCAAAGCTGCTGGAAAAAGTTATGGAAGTTCAGAAAGACCGAAAGAAACTAAAATCACTCGCTAAGAAAAATGCCACCAACAAGTTGAAGTCCAAGGCAAAGCGTAAGACTTCTTCCCGATTAAGTGTTTTTATTGTCTTGTAGTGCATCACTCTCATAACCAAATGTTTAATATTCCAGTCCTTCTCTAATATATCTTCACTTTGTAATTTTTTTTAATGCCTTCAAAGGCAAAAGAACTGCCAAGAAACTGAGTGATGTGGAGGAGGAAGATGATGATCAAATTCTTGAGTTGGAGGACAGGGGCGAGAAGGAGAACGAAGACCAGTTTAACGAGGGAGGAAATCCTGCTTCAGAGCCAAAGAAAAGGCCCAAAAGAAAAAAAAGAACAGAAAGTTTGGCACAGGAACCCAATGAAAAGAAAACGAAATCAGGTAAAAAGATCATGGAGCCAAATAAACATTAATCCAAAGGGAAACAACTATAAAATGTCCTGTAATCCACTTGGATTATTAAAATCCTGACCAAACAGACATATATTTTGAGAGATGTTATAACAAAGATCATAGGAATGCTTATCCAGAGTTTTTAAACTTAACTCTTGTTAATCTCTGATCTTTTATTTCTGCAGGTGTTCAAGCCGAAAACTCTGAGGCAGCACTTACTGAGGATCAAACACATTTAGAAGTGTAATGAAACGTTGCAATTATTGTTTTAAAGTAGAAAACGAATGTTTTTACCTCAGTTTTTGTCCTTCTGTTCAGGCCTGAAAAGGACACAGTCACCAAACCAGCCAGGCGAGGCAGAGCTCCCAAGCCGCTGCTGCCTTTGGGTTTGAAGCAAGCTAAGAAGGCTCTTCCTTCCAGGAAAGACATAGAAACTGCATCAAATAAAGGGGCGAAAAGCACGAGTGATGAAACCTCTAAAGAACAGGTCATTTTTCTTTCTTTAGAGCAGGGTGGGCAATCCTGGTCGTCGAGTGCTGCTGTCCTGCCTGCTTTACTTGTTTCCCTCTTCCTTTACACGATTCAATGACTGATTTCCCTCTTCCAAGTTCTGCAGAAACTTGATAGTCACCCATTCATTCAAAGCAGGTGTGTTGGATCAGACTAACAACATGTAGGGCTGCAACGATTAATCTACGACTAATCRATTATTAAAATAATCGATGACTAATTTAATAATCGATTGATCATTTTCTTTTGTAGCGAATTACTCCATGAAATTAGGACCAGCCTAACCTTCACAAAGATAACCCAGCAAGATCTTGCAAAAATGAAATCAGACTTTAATGAAATACCGTCTGATCATGAAGTGAAAAATGAAAACTTGTGACCTGGTCAGATTTCTCAAAATAAAGTAATTTATTTTAGATATATGAACAGGAATAAACATATAAACATTAATAAAAATATTATATGGACAAATGACACAAGTTATATTAACGGCATAGAAATTCCACTCAGA